TTGTGCAGTGTTTCTGGCCTCTCTCTAACCTCACTTTACAAACACATACTGGAAACACAAGCTGGGGTTTTTTTTCTCACCCATGGAAAGGGCCATTTTTTTTCCCCTCCCCTGTTTGTTAGTGAGATTGAGCCTGGCCTGAGGCTGTAGCCTGACTCACCTCTCTTTGACATTCCATCTCGCCTCACCTTCACCTCACAGGAATTGTAAGCGCCTTTGTCGGTCAGATCCTTTTTCACTTTCCCTGATGCTGCAGAAACGTTTGTTACCGAGACGTCAGTGAAAACCACAGTGGAATATCCAAATTAAAAGATTTTTAAAAAGTGGGGCACGGAGAAAAAAAATTGCTTCTTTTTCCAAAATAGTAGAAACTGTTTGGGAATATTATGAAAATGTGTTAAAATATCACTTCTGTTGTCATTATTGAATTCTAATGACTTGAACGACCACTCAGCTCTTTAGTTCCTGGAAGATCTACTGCATTGTTTTATTTATCCCTGGATTATCGCAATTCATTACTCTAAAGCTAATCGAATTTTTTAATTTGTGGGGCAACAATAATTAGTTACTTTTTCTTTCAGCATTATTTATACCTGAGAGTTCGATTCACTACCTTGGCAATACACATTAATTCAGCCTTACAGTTAATATTTTAATTTAAAGCAAACTTTAATAAAAACCAAAGAACATTGTTTTGGCAGCTCATTAAAACAACTTTTTGGCCCATTTAGTAAAATTGCTATAAAATAAGTGAGTAAAATGTGAAAAAAAATGTCTTTAATAAAATGATAACATGATTAAGCCATGGATTATCAAACTTAATCTACAGCCCCGACTTTGGCCTGGAGGTGCCCCTCGGGCCACTAGGTGTCAGTGCGCTCATGACATGACAGCAGCGTCACGCAGGGACGTGGAGGAGGAAAGATGAGAGAATTTAGTTCCATCTTTGTCATTTATCAGTGGGGGGTATCTTTGTCGACATAAGCTTTTATTTCAGCAGTGTCTAAATTAATCTCTGACTTGCTCTTACGCTGTTTTATTCCAGATTTAAACTGTTTTATTTTTTAATCCTACAGATACGTCTGCTTAGATACTCGGTTCCCCTGGTACTGATGGCCTGTCTGTATTACAAGGTACGTTGGTTTTTCCTTGCTGGTCCATGTTCAGTTGCCAGTCTGCTTTTTTTTTTTTTTTTTCTTTTCTTTTCTTTTTTTTTTGCATTTTTCCTTTTTTCATTATGTATTCAGATTAATACTTTTAATAATACATACATTTGTTTTCTTTGAGATCCTCCTGATTCCTCATTTCTCATTATGTATTCAGATTAATACATTTAATAATAAATACATTTATTTTCTTTGAGATCCTCCTGATTCCTCAGACTATAATATAGTTTGATAATTGAACTCCCAGTAATAAAACAAATTTATTTTCCCTATTAAAATGAGTGTAAAACTTAATTAGGTCCCTGAACCCCCTGGACACTGACCAACATCTTTTCATTGGCTGCTGTGAATTTTCTGCCACAGAAACAGGGTTGCATCTGTCAGAATGACACTTGTAGTTCACTCTCAATGTCTCCAGGCTTTGTGCTTGGTATTTGGTTTTTGACTTTGACCCCTGCAGTTTGTGCTCTCCATTTCAGTAGCTGGTTAGTTTAGTAAATATATGAATAGAGTATAGCAAATTTCTTCTTGTGTTCAAAGAAGAGGGATTGTTATAAGATAGACAAATGAAACCAAAAATCTTGCCTAAAATAGTGCGCGAAAAAAAAAAGTAAACAGTAATTAAAAAAGGCTGAAAGTTAGCAATAGCATTTCATTAAAACTAGGTAGATATTAGACAAGAAATTGTTAATAGTCAAAATACACATCGCCTGAGATGCTTAGACTAATTGTAGAATGAATGGAAAAAACCTTAATGGCCAGTATACGCTGTGTGATTTTGGGATGAAATACGACCATTGTGGGAGAAACGTGGCGATATCTTTGTTCATGCATCTAAAACAGTGGGCTTGGATCGTACTATGAGACAGGGTCAAGCGAGTGATACCGTCTTGCAACCAGTTATAGCCCGGGATAAAATTCTAGCGGTGTCAGAAATTTTAGGATGACTATTTCATAGCGTGACAGCTGCAACAACCTACGATCTACTAATCAGTCAATAGAAATGCTTCTTCATATTCTCATATTTGTTTGGCTCCTGAAAGGTTTCAGTAACTATGGTGGCGCCGATGGAGGATGGAGGCTATAACAGAGAGTGTGAATGGTGGTTTATCTGTATGCGCTTTTGTGATGTACTGAATAAATGGCTGGACGGGGGACATCCGGCCATTTATTCGGTACACGGCTCAATGACTGCATGGATTGGCTTCTCTGGACTTGGTTGTGTAATCTGAAATAAATATAGAGCAGCAGAGGATGAATTAATGCATAAATGAAGTCAGAATTTAGTGAATTAGGCAGTATCAACAACGACATCGAGCGTCTGAGCTGAAATCACTGCACTTTTGTTCATGAAGGAGAGTGAATAAGTAAACAAAGTTTATCTATTCAAATCAGGGGTCACCAACTATATTTGTCAGAGGCTGGACACTGGAAAAAAAACACGTTTTCTAACATTATTATTTGATGTTTATTTTGGAATCCGGTCTTGGGATGGACAGTCTGTGGGCCAGATCCAGCCCACGGGCCGCCAGTTTGGGATTACTGATTTTCACAGATGAAGCAGTGAACATGTTTATCAATGATGATAACCTCAACTAAATTTAGTTTAAAATAATAGCCATGTGTTGAGAAAGTCAGCACCAACAGAGTAACGTTTTTTTTTTTCAGATCTGCTTACACTGACTTAACCCAGTTTCCTTTTTTGTGTAGTTTTGGCCAAAGCTGAAGGAGGAGTTATCAGAACTGAGAGAGTTTTATGATCCAGACACTGTGGAGCTCATGACCTGGATAAGGTAAAATTGCACCAAGTACACACACACACTTGACTGTGATTAGCTGATACAGACTTCCCTCAATTGTCCTTGATTAGTCTGTATAATTGTGATGTCAGCGGGTGGCAGTCATGGTGGTAATATATTATGATCCTCAATAGAACCAGTTGTTTTTCAAATTTGAAAATCCCAAGATGTCAGTGTGTGTGCGGATGTGTGAGAGATATGTTATTTTATGACATTTCCAGACACTAAGAATCATTTCTAAGGCACTCAAATAGTACTTCCCCAGTGTCAGCATGTTTTCTTTTTAGATCTTATCTGTGTATGTTCTCAATCATCCAGGCTCTTCTATCCTAAGAAATTCATTCGTAGGCAACTAAACGTGCTTATTTATTTTGTTTTCTTTTTGTTTTTTTGCTTTTGTTTCCCATGTGATTCACCTCAACTCAGGCTCCTGAAAAACCAAATCAGCCTACAGAATTCCTTAGGACAGTGAAGCCCATTGTTCTATCCTTAAGAGTTTTTTTTTTTGTATTATTATGTAATAAAATAAGAAAGCTAATTAGTCTCCACCAATCAGGAACAGGGTTCCCATGCATCCTGGAAAATATTGAACCATTTTTAACATGGAAAATGAGGGGGGGAAAAAGTCCTAGAAATGGTTAAGTGATCGTGGAAAATAATTTTTCCTTCCCCCCAGGGAGTGCTAACAGGTTCTCCAAAGTCGTTTCACATCTCGTCCAAGAGGCTTCGTCAGTTCGAACTAACTGCTGGGAAGTTTTCCTGAAGGAGAGGGTGGTGCAGAGAACGCCAGCCCCTTTGTTGGCCTCTTGGATGAAATGTGAAATGTCTTGGGAAAATCCCTACCATTCAAGTTGCCCTTTGATGTTACTACTTTAGATAAGATGACCTGGATGACTGAGAACCTACGCAGACATGTTGCAAACAGGTTCATTGTTTTGGGTTATGCACCAAGGCCTGGTGCTTCTCTTCTTCTAGCTGGTGCCGCTGACCCCACGTGACACCACCAGCCAATTAAATTTGCATTTCCGCTCAGAGCAGTTCTGCAACCCAGTGCTTCCAATTGATTTTCGAGGTAGATTAAGTGACTTGAGACCCCGTTGAGGACCCAGTGCCTAGAGACAAAACTAGCGACAGTAAGTTGAAAAGCGGCGCTAGTATCGGTCCGTGAGTGTGAGGATTTTCTCTCTCCCACAACCACAGGCTCCTCTCTGTCCTCTGTTGAGTGACAGGCAGAGGAGCAGAGGAGAGTTGGGTGAAGAACACTTCCAAAGACTGAGGGAGACAGGGGAATGTATAAGTGCGTGACGTTATAACTTCTTTCCGTAGCGGCTGAAAATGGCCCGGGAAAAGTCCTGGAAAATAATATATACGAGAAAGAGTGGGAACGCTGAGGAAGCCGTGTGCTCTGTAGTTACAGTTACTGTTGTACATAATAGGGGTGATTCTAAAAACCAAACGAAAACCACAAATTTAAAGTGTGTATCATCAGTGACCACAGGAGGCAACAGCAGGCCAGTAAAAGCTATTCGTTTTTTTGTGTCTTTGTTGTGTTAGCAATAACCACCTTTTGCTTTTACTCTCGATTATTTTGGGCTAAATTTGATCTACACGTTTTGACTCGATTACATTTTCAAGCAATTCTTCCCAATAATTATGCGAAGTCGTTTAGCTATTTCTAATCGGGAAAGAGGAGGATGATTCTGAGACAGGGAAGGTTCAAACATTTCTCAGCTCGTGACATGTTTCTGTGGGTGTAAACACAAGCTCTGTTTTCACTCGAGATGATAATCTTATTATACCGAGGATTAAGAGCCGGTGATGAGAATGAAAGGCAAGAGTGATGCTGAATTGATCTAATGCTCTCCTGAACTCCGGATGAAAGGGTTCAGACAGAGATAGTTTATGACTGCTGCCGCTGCTTCTGATGCTGCGGCTGTTACTGTTGCCGGTGGATCTGGGCTGATTGTGAGTCCAAGCTTGTTTTCTGTTTTATGTATAAAGGTCACAAGGGAGATTTGTGAAAAGTGTGGCGTAATGAGCGTCAGAGCAGAGATAGATACTCTCTGCACTGCATGCTTATTTTTGTTTGGTAAGGGGGGGGGGTGTATAACTGTCTGGCATATTTATGTGAAGCTGTCAGGAAGTTGTGGCAGTAAATTTAGCTGCAGGGAGACGTGCAGCGCAGAATAAATCTTGTAGAAGTGATCACTGTTAGAAATACACAAGAAGGATTAAAAAAAATGGACAAAAAAAGAAGTTAAAACAATTAAAAGGTGGCCATACAGAATTGGAGGTGTTTATCACATGGCAGCTACCTAGATAGTTTGTTACTGGAGTGGTAGATATTCCTTTAAATTTTTTCTTGCCCGGGTCATGCACCGTTTGGTATAGATCTTCTCATTGATGGACAGCAGTGCTCAGTTGCCTTTTCAACCTGGAATACTCCAGGAGAGCACAGGCTCAACAGCTGTAGAAAAGCAGGCTCTGCGCACTGCTATGTTGAATTTCTTCAGCCGTCTGAGGTTGGACAGCTGCTGCCTTGTAGAGTCAGACGGCAGGTTGGACAGCTGCTGCCTTGTAGAGTCTACTGCACCAGAGAGGGAATGTGGAAAAGTGGAGAGTAATGCTGTAGAAATTCAAAGGGATCTCTGAAACCTATGATCCTGAAGCCACAATTAAGGGGCACATGATAGATTAATCCAGACATTCAGCATTGTCGGTGTCAGTCAAACCAGACGGACAAGAACTTAGTGCTGTGCATGTGAAGTCGAACATGTTCGGTATGAACTAAAAGCTCAGGTTAGCATCAACTTTACAGACGACCCTGTGTAGTCAATCACAAATGCCCTTCCCTGTAAATACAGTCAATCATCAAGAAATGATCTAGAAACCATGGCTGACTTCCTGTTGGACACATGTCATCCCCAGAAGGAAGGTGAGATCTAAACTCTTTAGAAGAAAAGTGGAGCTAGTGTAGCGTGTATAAGCTTTTAGCATGAAGATAAACCATTATTTACCATAATGCAATAATTCCCATTAAATGCTGAGAATGTTTGGTCCCACAATAGTCTCATTTGATCAATAAAAAAAATAAAAGTAGTAAGATAATCTCTGTCAGTGAGCACATCCCACAGCTGTACTCCATCTCTCTCTAGCCTACGAGAGAGTGATCACGCACTCAGACAAGCACGTATGTACACCTCCGCCCCTAGCGGAGTCCACCCTGGGAGCTAGCAAGCACAGACACCATCAACCATTTTGGCTAAAGTTTCTTGCGCGTAAAACACAACTGCTGCCGACTATGTGCAGTAATGTCACTTTGTGTTTTCACAAGCCCTGTTTATGATTCCAAGACCTCAGGTCTATCTTCTGTAATGGTCTTTTCTCTTGGGTTCATTACACATTTGTAAGGAGCAACATTAGTGTGCCAGAACTGAGAGCATTTCTGTTTCCGTCAGCAACCAGACTGTAAACAAAAAACTTTGAATTTTTTATTTTAAAAAAAAAAAAAAACTTTGAAAATAAAATGTAGATTTAGTCCACCGAATATTTTATCCAGTTTGTTCTCGCCTAATGTCGGGTATTATTTTTTCTGAAATGTAATGGTTCTCTGGATCATTTTTCTCTCTGGAGTTTGATTTTTGAGGTTTAATGATTCCTATTATGATTATTCTTTTACAAAACTGTGGTGTTAAAAACAATCACTTTTGTTTGTCTTTTTAAATTCTTTTTTACAATTTCAAATCGTATCATCCCAATTAGTTTTTTTTTTTCTTTTATTATTTTTGTGGTTATCATCTGCCATAAATTTATAACTCTTTCACATCTTTACCTCTTGGATTCGTCACTGTTATTCATTTTAAAGTAAACCACCAATCTCCGTCTGGTATTGTATCTTTGTCTTTTATTGTAAGCAATTAGCAGCCCAGTGTGAGTGTGTGTGTGTGTGCGGTGGAGACTTGGGTGTGCTTGTGTGGGTGTTGTTTGATTAAAACTGACCTCAGGGTGAACATTACAGGGTGGTAAAATGTGTGTGGGTGTTTTTCGGTGTGTTTCCATAATAGAGGTCTGTTAATGTCAAGTTTGGTTAAAAGGCCTTACACACACACACACACACCTTACCGTGCTTGTCCTTGTCGTTGTCTTTAGCTGCACGCCTTTCATGTCTTGTATTTAATTTTTTTGTCCGTGCGAGGAATGGATGTGTGTGTACGTGTTACAGATGTAGACAAGTCATTTTCCTCTGTCAGTCTGTCTGTACAGCTACAGTATGCTCAGAAAAATGCCAACAAAATGTGCCAATTACTGCAGCCTGTGCGCAGCTCTGAGGCACATGGACTGAATCAGATCAAAAAGGCTTGGAAAAAAGTAAAGCTAAATTTAAACTGTTTTCTTTTTTTTATTTAAAGATGTAATTTTTCATGTTTCAGACTTGTTTGCTGCTTTGATCTCTGGCTTTGCAAACACCAGAACATATTAATTAATCGCATAGGCTGAAATTTGAAGGAATAGGTTAATGTGTAACATTAAATCACCAATGGGTCGCCAACCTTTGAGAGATCCTTTAAGGGCACTTGTTTGAAGAACTTGTTTAATACAGACTTCCTGCACAATGTAATAAAAATAGCTTCTGGGACATACAATAGTAGACACTCTTCTTACCATCCTTATTGCACCCATTTGAACATTTGAATATCACTTCAAGTGTAACTGATTCAAAAAGCACATTACCGGAACCATTTTTGACTCTCCTGATGACGAGTTTTATTCTCAGAACATACCTTGCGGGCACCTTAGGTAGACCCCTGCTCTAAATTGACCAAAAGGTATGAATCAGACTGGCAAACTTTCTGTGCTCTACTCATGCTAGCCCAGGGACTGCTGGGATTGAATCCATTTTTTAAATGAAAAGTTTTGGTCTAATTCAGTGTTTTCTGGGTCGACCTTAAGCTGTATGGGGTACATTGACAAAGCCTTATGGATGGGTGTTAGATCATCTTCAAGACGTCTTGTCCACTAATTCTGAAATTCTCAGGATAAAGTTACCTGGATGACCCCAGACACTTTAGCTACCTTTGCGAGTAGTTTTCTTTGAGCAAGAGTGGCTCAGTCGTAGCGTAGCATTCGTCCCTCCCATTCAGAATGTTTACGGCTCGATTCCACCTTGTACCCAATCCTAAGTTGGTTGCAAGTCATCTGGTGATAATACATTGCCAAATCACTTTGCACACTACCGCTTGATAAAATTTGTGTATTGTGAATTTTTGGCTTGTGTGTAAAAGGAGAAAAAAATATATACCATCAACTAGCCATCCAGCAGAAAATTGACCTGTTTTGCAATACAGCCTACCGTATAGTGTTTCTCTCTCACCAGTGAACTCCCCCATGCTGTGTTCGTTCCCTCGCTCTACCCTCCAAACTGTGCGAGCGCCGACTAACGTGTCCTTCATTGTCTGTTTTGTGTGTGCCTGCAGCTCTAAGACGCCTCAGCATGCTGTGTTTGCAGGCAGCATGCAACTGTTGGCTGGAATCAAGCTGTGCACAGGCAGAGTCCTCACCAACCATCCGCACTATGAAGACAAAGAGCTGAGGGACAGGACCAAACAGGTAACGTGAACCGCAGAACACCACACACCAATACAGAGGACAAACACGACTGTAATACTGTATGGGTTGTATTTTTTCATAAGGTCACTTAAATTGCGTTTTTATCACAAGTTTTTCTGAAGTATGACTCTGAAAGAATAATCTGGCCCATAAACCAGGACGATGACTGTGAATATTGACTTTGATGACAACACTGTAAAATTATTTTTACTCGGTTTAACTTTTAACCTTGCTCTTAGCTTGGATTTTTTTTTGTATTATTTTTTTTAACCTTGCTCTTAGCTTGTCTTCTCTCTTCAGGGTCACACCGTATATCTTGCCCACTCTAGTATTACACAAACAATCCATAAAGGTTTTGGGGGTTTTCCCTTTTCCCTCCTGCTTTCTGTCTTACTTATCTCACCTTCTCTACCCCTACTCCTTGCTGCCTCCCTCTTGTTTACACACAGGGATTCTCTCTTGCTTGCTGACCTTTATTCCTCCAAGTTACTCTAAAGCAATCCTCTGCAGGTTTCCTTCTGGTAAATCTATTGTCATAGGCAAACATCGTGGTCCATGGAGGCTCTTGCCTGACCGTAATCTGTCAACCTTTACATCACCTTGGCAAACCGAGAGGCTCAGAGGCGATTTCTCATAGAACTCCCCCCCATCTGAACCCATGTTTTTATGGCAGCAATCACCTTTGCTGTCGGTCATGCTCGTCTTGCACCACTTTCTTGTACTTCTCTGCTACTCCTGACTTTTTTAATACAGTAATACAGATCCTCTCGTGACACCCTATTAAGTGTCTTCTACAAATGCACAAAGGTGAAGTGGACATGCAACCAGTCCGCTGCTCCCTTATCTGGATCTTTGCTTAAGCCTCACTTCCTTCAAGTGTTGAAGCCATACTTCCTCTTGAGCTCATAATTCAATAATGCATCTCAACTCTCCCTTGTGACAGTTAGTGGTATTGTTTGTAGATGATAAAACTGTTGAGTTGCAGTCAATGTTTAGTACAGTCACAGTTCAGACTAGTATCACAAGGTCGAAAAAGAAAATCGAAACATTAGCCTTGACACTAAAGTAAATGTGTGTTTGTGTCTATACACAGGTGTATCAAGTGTACGCTCATCGCTCCCCTCAGGACATCCATGAAATCCTGCTGTCACTAGGGGCAGACTACCTGGTTCTGGAGAACAGCATCTGTTACGAAAGGAGGCACAGAAGAGGTTGCAGACTCAGAGACCTACTAGACCTGGACAACGGACATGTGAGTGACCAAATCTTTTTATGGTCAGGTGTACAAAACCATGAAACTAGGGAAAAAAATCCAGAGATCCTTTAACTCCTTTTATACTTATTCTATCTCCTGTCTGTGCCTCTTCTTATATACAAATGAAGAGTTAACACTTCATTCAAACCAATATTGATTTAAAAAAATGCAAATCCAAATCAAACAGATCAACAACTGGTCCTAATGTAGGGCATGTTTATGATCCTGTCTGTCTGCCCTGATGCTGGTACAGTATGTGCACATTATGGTTTGCTTGTGGTCTGTTCTGCTCCGTGGTTTAGGCTTTGAACTGGTGGTTTAAACTGATGTTTAGGTGATGGTTTATTCTGAACAGTAGTGTAGTGTGAGGTTAAGTCTGTTGCTTTATCTATTCCGATTTCTGTCTTGCTTTAGTCTGGTTTGTTCTGTTGCTTAATCTACAGTTTAGCGTGTGCTTAGGCTGTGGATGGTTTGATTCTGTTGTGTTTAAGTTTTTGTTTAATTTGTGGTTTAGTCTGTAGCTTAATCTGATCTGTGCTTCATTCTTTGTTTTTTGTCTGTGGTTTTGTATCTGGTTCAGTCGGTGGTTTAGCCTGTGGTTTAGGGTTGAGTTTGATCTCTTGATAAATATTTGTGTTAATATTTGATTTTGATTTTTAGTCGTGATTGGACTGATCTCAGACATCCATTTCATTAAGATTCAAGATTCAAAGAGATTCAAAGCGTTTATTGTCATGTGTACAGTGAGGAAAGCAGGTTTCCCTGTACAATGAAAATTTTACTTTGCTGTCCACATTGAATGCCAAAGAAATCAAGATATAAAAATAACAAAATATACACAGGAATAAAATAACAAAATATACACATGAATCAACAGAAGTATTTTCAGTATTTA